GGTTTTTTTTTTTACTCTTTCTGCCCTGTGGGCACTAAGAGGGCCTCTTAAAGCAGACCCATTATGGGTTCAGCCAGGCCCACAATGAGGTGACCGGGTGGTGAGGGATGGGGCTAGATGTGTCCGAATGGACCACTCTGAAAAATTCCTGGGGATTTTTCAACCCGTTTGGATTCGAACACGGGTTCCCAGAGTGGTAGGCTGCCACCTCGACTGCTCAGCCATCCGGCTTCTCTAGTCTGGTCTAGTACTCCGATAGTGCTACTTGTTCAAAGATGGGGGTGTATAATTGAATTAAGTTGTATACTGAGCAAAATTTGTTTTGTCCAAACAGGACGTACTCCGAATTGGACGTATTCTAAAGCAGACGTATACCGAGGTACCATTGTATATATTTTTTTCTGGTACAAAAATTTTTTTTTGAATGTGATTATATTTACAAAACTTCTTATGTTTAGTGTTATATTTCCACTGGTATGATTAACTTTTATTTTTTTTAAAAACATCTGAAATAACTTAAATAAAACTTAAGGTTTTACAACCTGACAAATTCATTTATTAAACTTACACATCTGCTTTGATTTTCTTAAGTCTTATGAGAACATTGGGAAGTCACATCAATTATAACAAGTAAAGAAGTTCATAATGAACTTCTTTACTTGTTATAATTGTGACAATAACTGAATGATTCTGGATTATTGTGACAACTCATGTTGCTACACGAGTAATTGAAGAGTAGACAAGAAGAGAACTTTCTATGTATTATACTTGACATCTGTTACTAATATAATACAATGTGTGGATAATAAGTTGAAATATATTTATTGCATAGCATATAAATGTTATAATTACAAAATACTAATTTTTCTTTGTTAAAAATCAAATGATATGTTGCAAGTTTGAATCTTTAAAATTTTTCCTAATCTGCAATACAATACATAAGGAACATGGAAAACTTTAAGCTGGTTTTCTCACAAATGTTACAGTCTGTCTATGGAAAAATAAACTTAGGTATTAATATCTTATATAATAGTTGTAGTTTCTATCAGGGATTTCAAGAAGCTTGAATGTATGTGTTTTCCTGTTATTATTGGCAACCATATCTGTGGTGAACCACATCAATATTAAAAAAAAATAGTAATATAATCTTAATGCAAGGAAACTTTCATGTTAACATGTTTTCTACCTATATGCCTTTTTGTATTGTGCTATCACTTGTTGGTCAAAAAGAAATCAAATTTTTTATTCATGCATCATCTTTCCCATGATTTTATTAAGACATTTACAAAGTCCTGCTGCAGTTCATCCAGCAGATTGCCCTCCACAATATTTCAAGTATTGTCAGTTTAATTATACTCATCATTACAACTTTTAAATTTAATAAACACAAAGTTTTTATAACTATCAGTTGTAAATAGCTGTTACTTGTATCATGATATGTATATTTTCTCCTGATAGATGAGTATTTTTCACAGCCAGTTTCTTCATAGCAATTGATCAGATGGACAATGCATGTAAATATACCAGAAATATCTAGCACAAACTATAATTACTAAAAATAGTGAAAAAAACGAATGTTTTCAACAATTTTTGAATTGTTATCTTCTGGTTAAATGCAGTAAAACATCAGTGTGAATATTTGAACATCAAAATTCAACCAGATGGACAGTGGTTATGAAGAAACTGGCAAATTATTTTTGCAGATGAATAATTATAAGATCATGTAAAATTTCAAATGCTGAATTTTCTACAAATGATTAATTGCATATTAATTTGATTTTGAATATTTTATTGAGACAAAAAATATGATGATAAAGTTTTATCATAAAAAAAGTCTTTTGAGAAAATTTTACATACAAAAAATAATTATATGTTCTTACATTGCTTACAAAAATTTATTCAAATACAATAGACTCTCAATCATTCAAAATGGAAAGCACAGAAAAATTTTTGAGTTGCAGAGGTATTTGAATGAGAATGTATTGGGTTGTTTGGAAAGTAATTTCGTTTTTTTAACCACTAGACGGATTAGTCATATTTTTCCCACCATTTTCATTCTAAACCGTATTATCATTATATATTTTGACAGCTAGCATTTTAAGGCTTATTTGTAAAAAATTTTGATTTTGTGCAATTGTTTATTTTTTGTGTCCCATCAAATATGGAAGATCAAAAGCAGCATTTTTGGCATATTTTGCTCTTTTATTACCAAAAAGGTAAGAATGCTGTTAAAGCGAGAAAAAAATTGTGAGACGTATATGGAGATGATGTGTTGAGAGAAAGACAGTGCCAAAATTGGTTTACAAAATTTCGTTTTGGCAATTTCAACATTGAAGATGCACCATGTTCTGGATGGCCAATTGAAACCAATGAAAACAAAATAAAGGTACTGATTGAAGCAAACTGCCGGATAACAACACGTGAAATCACTAAGAGATTAAATTTGTCAAATTGAACCATTTGTGATTACTTGAAACAAATTGGTTTCATTTCAAAGCTCAATATATGGATTCCACATGGTCTTAAAGAGAGATGCTCTCTTTGGTGGGATTTTAAGAAAATTTTTTTTTTGGAGCTTTTACCAGACAATTGAACAATTGATTCAAAAGTATACTGCCATCGAGTAAACAAATTGAGTAATATCATCAAACAGAAAAGGTGGCCAGAATTGATCAACAAAACAGGTGTAGTGTTTTACCACGATAATGTCAAATTTCACACAAGTTTGGTAACTCGTCAGAAACTGTTATAACTTAGATAGGATGTGCTATTGCGCCAACCATATTTGCCAGATCGAGCACACTCAGACTATTACTTGTTCCAGTGTATACAAATTTTTTTTAACTGTAAGATATTTACTTGAAATGACAATGTCAAAAATCGCTTGAATCAGTTTTTTGTAAGCAACGATCAAAACTTATGAATGTGAAATCATGCTACTACAGAAACGATGACAACAGGTATTTGACCAGAATGGTCAATATATAATTCAATAAAATATTTATTTATTATAAAAATATTGTGTTTTTTTCCACGGAAAAAACTGAAATTACTTTCCGTACAACCCAACAAATATTACAATATTAACAGTGTAGTTAGGCTTAAATACATTATACTTCATTATTTTTTAAGTACTTCCTAGCATCTGGATACTCATATTTATGCTTTTTTTCCCTTATTCTGCCTGATCCTGTTTTTGATTGAAGCTTTTCAAAATCCTCTCCCATGGAGGGTACTCAGTAGAATGTCAAAAATGTTTATTTGTAATTTCTGATATTATTTTTTTGTTTCTTCCATGGTCTTTATGAGAAATATTTTCTGTTAGTGATAAAATCTTTAGTTTTCTTTGATTTCTGTTCTATTTACTTTAGGAATGAAACCAGTGTACTGATTAATCAGTCACTATCAGTGGTGAAAATGTCAACATGCAATTCAAACTTTACAGTAAAATTTATGTAGTTTAGTTCCAAATAAGGAGATACATAAAGACAAACTCATAACTTTGAATGGCCAATAATGTAGGAAGTTATCAAATCATATATGTGTTTGTTACACTTTCAAATTAAAAAAAATTTAGAAAATAGTTTTAAAGCAGTAAGATTTGATTGGCCAATTTGAGTTGAAGAGTAAGATTTTTACTTTAGGTGTAAAATGCTAAATTTTTGAATTTTATGTTGTGCACAGGTATATTCTATTTAACAGTCTTCAACTTTGTGATATCATTCAGCTCTTGAAAGTTAAAATGACAGTCCATTCAATGAGGAGTATATTCAACTTTTTGGATTTTTTTTGTCTGGTGACTAGTGATGCTCATGCACAGTTGATCATCAATCCATGGTTTTCATCAGTAGTAGTCAAAAAGTGAACAATCATGTGACATAAAAACCAGTTTGTCTACATGCTGAAGCAACCACATCAACTTTCTTACATCAAGCTTAATGGGGGTTAAGTTGAAACAAAAATAAAATTCAAGTTAAGGAAGTTTTACTTATTGAGAGTCTACTGTATTAAATTAACAGGTTAATTAACTATAACCTCAAATATAAATCCAATAAAATATTAATCAAGTTATCTGAAACCTTTATATCCTTGGGTTATTCTCAGATTAGATTTATAGAATTCAGTTAGTTTTGTAATTTATTGAATTATACAAATTAAAAATAACTCTTACTTTAAACCTCATAACAGGAGTGAATGTATAATACTTCCGCAAACGTTTTTGACGCCCCTTCTGGGCTCTTCCTCAGGCTTTTTTTGATAAATACTAAGCTGGACGTTGAAAATCGAACATTTTCTTTTGATTTGTTTACCCTTTGAATCATCGCATGTGGTTGGAAGCTATGGAGATATTTAGAGCAGGATACAAAACAACATGCATTAGTTTTAAAGAAGAGATAGCCCTTTCAACAGCATGGCAGTTCCTGCTGGATGATGTCTTTTAAAAGTTCACATCAAAAGCACGGCATTGCACATGCGCTGTACGCAAAACATCGCTCTGTTTTTTCTCTTTTTCGTTTTAAATTTGGCTCGAAGGTTTCCATGTGCGATGATTCGAAGGGTAAATGAATCAAAAGAAAATGTTCGATTTTCAACGTCCAGCTTAGTATTTATCAAAAAAAGCCTGAGGAAGAGCCCAGAAGGGGTGTCAAAAACGTTTGCGGAAGTATTATACATTCACTCCGGTTACGAGGTTTAAAGTAAGAGTTATTTTTAGTACGTTCCGGTGTGTGGAGAAGAATAATTATACAAATTAAGTCATTTGATTTAAAATACAGTATTAAAATAACAGTATTAAATACATATAATTGTCCATTAAAATGGTATAGAATATAAATTGTAAATACTTGAATTAATCTACAGATATTTTTGTGATTTATTTCTTCCTGATAAAAGAAAAATTTTAAATACATGCTGATTTGAAAAATCTGTAGAAGTAAGATCCTTAACATTATTTAATATGATTTATAAAAATATTTACTATAAAAATGATAATATTAGTCATGCTTGTTTTAAAGCATATATATTTTTAATAAAATAATTGTTATATTCATTCTAGATGACAATGTTGTTAACAGTGAAGCTGAACCAGAAACTGAATTGGTACAAGTGGCTACAGAACAGATGATCTATACTTCCACTCACTATCCATTTGTTGCAAATGTTTCTCATCCTGGAATGATGGCTATCAATCCTGCTTTTGTAACTCCTCCAGCAATCAGTGTCACTAATGTAAATCACTTTGCCAATCCGCAGCCATACTTCTTACCCCGCACAGCTATTCCATATCTTCGAGCATATGCCCAAGTTGGAGTACCTCTCATTACTTTACCACAGCAGGGTGCACAGGATGTTACTGTTATTCCTCAACCACCCTATCATACACTTACTCCTGTACCTAATCCTGTAGTTAAAGTTGAACCTGAAGCCATTAGTGAAGGAAGGCAAAAGATACGTAATCACAATGATAAACAATACGTTCGTCGTGGTCGGAAGAAGCTACTTGCCAATAATAGTTACTCCACAGAAGTCTCCAATGCCATTGACCCTTATCATCAAGGGACAATAATGGCCGAGACGACCACCATACACAGTGACACTGGTGGAGAACATCTTCCTCCATCCATGACCCATACACCTCTTGTGCCTTTTTCAGCATTTGCTGTAACTGGTGGAGCATTACATATAGCTGCACCAACGCCAGGATATCATCCAGGCATAACTCCTTTGCCCTATTCTCATCTTCCCAGTCCTCAAACTCCCTCAACCCCTGTATTCTATGTTCCTGTTTACAATCCACCATATGGATATATCCAACAGCCTACCTCTGGTCAACCTGTACTCACTACTATTCCTGCTGGCATGCCTTGTACGCCTAACGGATGTGGTACCATGACTGGGGAATCACTTGATGCTTGTTCGGATGCACAAAATGATGTTATACAGACTGCTAATCAAAAAAATGTTAGTATCAGGGAATTGAATGATAATGGGGATGAACATAAAAAGAAATCATCAGTGAGTGAAGATGGTAAAATGGATGCAAATATACCATCAGAAGAGGGTACTTCACCTGTGTATAGTGAACAGACTGGTGTAGGACAAGATACCCCTACTGATCGTCTAACAAATGACATTTCTAGGTTAAATTTAAATGAAAATGATATGAAAGGAAATCTTTCATTACAAGAAAATGGTGGTTCTCTAACATCGGATATATCTCATCGATCATGGGCTGACTTGTTTAGAAATGAAGAAGAGATGATGGATGCCATCAATGGCATGGATCACCCGTCCGAAACTTCAACTGGTGAAATAATTAACTGTGAAACTAGCAGAATAAATAAAATAAAAAATTCAAATTCTCTACCACATGAAGATGAACTAGCTAATAGTGAGAAAGAGACTGATTAATACAGGTTAACAATATAAAGTGTGATGTCACGCATATTTGTTATCGCTGCATGTGCACTAGTTTTGGTCCAGTGTTTATCTTAATGTACACAAATTGTTCACGCCTTTTATTGATTACTCAAAGAATGTTTTAAAGGTTTTGCAAATTATCGTTTATCACAACAACTGGAAAATACCATTTTGTGTTCCAGATTAAAACAGGGAAGTTACATTAAATATTTGTAGAAGTATTAAAACATTTTGAATAATTATTGTAATACTAATAATATCAATTAAGAATTTTTATCTAAAATGTGTATATAGTACAATACGAGAATAGTTATTGAAATATAGCTATAAATTACTACTACTGTCAAATTTGATAACAAAACTTTGCCTAATACAGACAAGTTACGTATTGCTGCTAACTAACATATTTGGTTTCGTAATATCTACATTATGAAACTGCAAATTGGTCAAAGTCAGAAAAATTTGTGCCGTTTCAGTGTATTTGTGAAACAATGTACACTAGTCAATGTTCCAATAGTGTAAAAAATATATATATTAATAATAATAATTTCTATGGGTTTTCTTATTTTAAATCTGGTTTTTGTCTGTAATACGACTAAATTTTGTGCTAATAAACGAAGCTTTCTTTACAGAAAGCGACTAGAAAACTCCTCGAGAAATAATTAGTGACATGTAACTCATTAATGCCGGTCGTGCGAACTAAGCGGAGCAAGTTAATCATGATAAATAGAACAGTTCTGGAATTCATCATCTAAATTTGTCTTAACTATTGCCACCCTCTACTGTATATATATATATATATATATATATTATACATACATACATATATATATATATATTAGCAGATTGGAGAGTTTGAATGCCCGTTAGTCTTTCATTATGATATGAAACAGCTATGTAAATAAAGTGGAACATCGTCACCGTACTTCCATGTTTTTGTTTTTTTCTTGATTTTGAACATTGCACAATTTATTTGTGCCATTGACAGTGCTAGGAAAAAGTAGAATTTCTAGAGAATTTATATTAAGACAAATTGACAAATTAGTTAAATTTTGTTATCGAGATAAAAAAAAATATTCATATATCTGTTCATGTTAATAAGAATGAGGGAGTAGTATTTGCAGTCTACGTCAATTTTATTGTATTAGCTGATTTAAACTATTGAATGAAATTTTTGTATACTGGAGGAATCTTGTACGATTGTCGGGTGTCTTTTCCAGAAATGGATTCATGTTTTCGTGTCGAAAAATTGTAATCATAAGACTGTTAGATATTGTACAGAATTGTGGAACAGGTGGTTTTTTCCCCCTTTGGTTAAGCGAAAATCATCATCGCACCGAAGCATTATAGAAATATAATTTTTATGTAAAGGAGAAACAAAATTTGGTCTTTACAAATTAGGACGTAGGTAATAGTTTATTTTCAGTCTGTGTTTCATCTAGCATACTGTGTTTTTTTCTAAATTTTCATAACAAGGACGCCTGCCTAAGTTGATTTTTAAATTAGATTTCTTTCAAATGTTAGATGTTCCTTGAAAATCTGCTCACGCTTTTTTAAATTTATATTATTATATATATAATGTGTCTACGAACATCTACAATGTTCGAATATAGCAAATTGAGAACTAAATAAAATAAAACGGATCACCGTTTCTACTCTTGTTGTTTCATTTTATCTTGTCAATAAGTTCATCTTTTCCATTAATTTTTACTGAATGAATACACGAATACGTTAACATTTAATCCATTGAAAATTGGTAAAAAAATAAAAATTTTCTTTTAATGGTGACCATTTGTGTATCGAATACACAGGAATCTACCATGAGAGATCCAATTGGATAAGAGTTTTTATTTTTAAAACGCCGAAAATCGGAAATGGTTGAAATCTTCGGTAAAGAATTATTGAAAGTAGCGCGCTTATTTTCATGTACACGAACTAATCGAGGTATATATATATATACAATATTTAACTTGACGCTAGTGAAATGCAGAGTTAGCATACGTTTTATTTTTGCCACGGGAAATTTTTGTCCCATAATTAGTTTTTAATGCCTTGTGCCTGAGCAGTATTTCAAGGAGACGAACATATCTTGTTTGGTTTATGTAATTACCATCAATAATTCTAGTTCTAGAAAGCTCACTTTGTTATGGCAGCCCATGTAATTATGATGATGTTATTTGGAAATTTGTTGTGAAAAGTGCTGTAAAAGGAAAAAAAATGCCCTTATGTGGACTTTTGTGGATTTAAATAACAGCACCATAGGTAGTGTGTGCCTTCTGCCTGTTCCATTGCATCCGCTTCAATGGTTTGGGTTTTACATCTTCAAAATATTAGAAAAAAAATAAAGTGTTATCATAAAATGTTGTAATTATTGTGTTATTTCTTTTACACATCGGAAATTAATTATTGGTAGATCGTAAAAGAAAAAGCTTTACAGTGGGTACACGCGACTAAGTGGCTGAAAAATGAACGGGAATTAGCCGAAATCTCAATTAAATATATACTTGTGTCAATCATTCGTATATTGAGTCAGTTTTGATTGAAAATATGTGAAACCACGCGTAAAAATTAATTTTTAGGTATCTAAATCTTGAGCCACATCGACTCGAAGTCATATTTTTGTATTATTAATACAGTTGATGCTTATCGAGAATATAAAGTGTTTACTTAGAACAGCGGTATTATAGAGATAACGCGACAAAGGTGAAAGTAGCGGCATTCATTAAAAAAAAAAAAAAAATGGAGAACTTCGTATAGTGTCAGCGAAAGACTCCCCCTGGTGTTAAAATTTGGAGAGTTGTGACGTCAAGGGCGTCCGTCGTCGCCATTTTGTCAAATTATCTGTACGAAGACGGACAAATGTGAAATTGACGACATTTCTATAATTTTATGGATCAAATGTTAAGAGGTAATTAGATTGATTAAGTAAATAGCAATAGGTTAAGAATGTGTTACAAAATATGAAAATATATTAGTGCGGATGAATAAGTGGATGCCTTATTGATCCCCTGGGCGGAATGATACTGGATTTCGCCCATTGCCCTTATATGGACGTGTACTCGGACGCCATCTTCTCATAGTTGTGTTGGAAAAAGACGGTGTTTCTTGTGTTATTGTTAAAGTTTTTCGCTACTATTTGTTAATGAACGTTTTCTGAAAGAGATTTCATTCACTGATGTTAACAATTGATTCTTCCTTTCCTCTAAAATAGTAATATTCAGTGTAGAAATTTCGTCATTTGAACTCTCATATGAGTGAATGTTTTCAAAAGAAAGTCATTTATTAAATGATATAATGAATTTAGTTTAGAAGCTAATATGTAATTTATTTTCTTTTAATAATTTATTGATTAAGATTGAAGAAGACTACATTTTTTGGATTTACTACTTGTTTTCTTCTTTTGAGTACTCCATGTGAATTCTTTTAAGAAAATTAGTAGATAGACAAGCTATTTATATACATAACTTACAGATTTATAATGAAATTTAAAGTTATAACTAATATATATGATGGAATACCTGTTACACCTGTTAAGATATGATATTGTGTGTTAAAAATGATTAAGGTTATGTATTTTGAACTGATTTTAATATTTATATTGTTTAAATTATTAACTGAAACTATTTTAATTACAATGAAATGTTGGTCATTGGAATCATGAAGTCCTCTCTCTTTCCAGGAAGTTTGTAATCCTGGTTACAAAGTTCTTTCACTTGAAAAGTGTTGTTAATGTTTGCTAATTTGTTCCAGTTCATATTTATAATGTTTACAAATTAGATTAGCTTTGGTCTTTCCTTTTTTTGCTATTTTCCAATTTGTAAAAAGTTCCATTTCATTTTCAAAATAGATTTTAATATTGCTTACAATTTGGAAATATATGATTTCAGGTAAAAAGAAAATTCAATATTTTAATGAGTTAAAGAATGTTTAGAAAGTATTCATTTATTCTTATATATCGTGACTTACAATATTTTTATTTTTAAATGCTGTATTTGTTGTAAGTAATATATAATATATTGGTATTGTTCACATTCATGGTAATCTTTGCTTAATTCCAGTATTACTTTAAAAACAACAAATGTTTTTGAACAGATTGACTGTCCTGCTATGCATGATGTTCCATTTAGAATGCTTGTTCTATAGCATTCTACATTCAAACTGAATTCAAATCTCAATTTACCAAATTAAATTTTACAGCTAACATATTCTATATAATTTTGTATTAACATTCCATAGTTTAATTGAGTTCTTATAATCGTTTTTGGGGTTATCATAAAAAGCTTTTCAAGCACACGATAACAAATCTGCATATCTTATGTTAATACTCTTTCTCTTCAAAGCTGTTAGAAAAATCTCTAATATCTCTAAAAATTTAGTAAAACACAAGAACTGAAGCTAGATTGCTCCAATTTAGCTTCAATTTCTGGTTTCGAGGAATATATGGATAGCAGTGATGTTTGTTTCTCTCTTTCAGTGTTGTATTTGCATTCTTTAATCTTGTTTCTAAGAGATCTATTTGTGGATCCTATGTAAATTAAATCCTTATCAAAATGCCATCATTTAATGGTATGCTATAAATTCCAGGTGCTCTGGTCCTATCTACTTCATCATTTCACTGCATATAAGGAAAATAGCAATGGCACATTGGTACTCAATAAAACTTATAGAAGGTTTAGAAGGAAAAAAAATATATGCAGTGGCGCCTCGAATAACGGACGCTGCGAACAACGAACTTTCTGTTTGGCCGTTACGTGACTCGAGCAACGGATGGCTGCGAACAACGGACTTTCCGTTCGGCAGTTACATGAGGCAAACAACAAACTTTCTGCGAACAAGTGCGAATGATGTTTCCACTCTTTTTTCCATTGCCAATGACAATCTGCTATTTTTATAATATATTAGCATTATTAGAATATATTATTAGTATATCTGAAGTACAGAGCTTCTGTTGGGATTTGGCTTGCTCCCTTCTTTATTATGTACATCAGCTCAGTTCAGGGTATTTACATTTATTCAAGTATTGTGCAAATCATGGCTTGTAAAAAAACAGAAAGGTGATTTCAATTGAAACAAAGCAAGAAATCATCAGAAGGAGTGAAAGTTGACAAAAACTTCCTTGTCAAATGGGGAGAGGTCCAACACTCATTATCCAAACAGAGCTGAGGCCAACAGGAGCAATGATCTCTACAATGACACCCTTGACCGTCATTTCCGACATGTTTTTCAAGAAGCTAGTTGCCAAAATCAAAGGATGGAACAAGAGGAGTTGACCTTGCAAGCTCCAGTATCCTTTCCTGAATCTGTATCCAGTATCCTTCCCTCCAGTATCCTTTCCTTTAATTAAAAAAACAATAGAGACCTGCTGCAATGTGTAAAAAGTCTGTATCTGTATGAATGTGTGAAGAAAGTGTTCCTCCACCTCCTCACAACATCTGACTACCCAGCATAATTGGTGACTGCTCCATTTTCATTTTTTTTAATGGTACAGTATGGTTATTTTATGCTGCGGAGCAAATTATATGTTTTTTTCTATGGGAAAATGCATTTCGTATAAAGGACTTTTCACTTAATGGACATGCACCTGGAACGGATTAAGTACGTTATACGAGGCACTACTGTATGTATATATATATATATATGACAAGATAACAATCTCAATACATAAAACATACCCCAGCTGAGTCTAGAAACATGGTGGAATATAACTTATGGATACAAATTCACAAGTTATACGAACATTGGCGTGAGTTTTTAAATTTATTTTCACTTAAAGATGGTGGAATATGAATGACAAGAGGCTGAAATCAATAAACAAAAAAATTACATATAATGGAAGAATGGAGCTAGTGTAAAAAGGAGCAGTACTATATACCAAATGCTGCAAGATGCTATACAGAATGCTATAGAATGAGCATTCTAAATAGAACATGTGTAACTGACAGTCAAGCTGTTTGAAAACATTTTTTGTTTTTAAAGTAATATTGGAATTAAGCAAGGGTTACCAATGTGAAAGTTACATTATTCCAGTTTGAATTTCTTTTTCTTTAATTCACCTGTAACATTGTATATGTTGTAAATTTAGAAATGACTGATTTTGTGATAAGTTCAGATAGTTTAATTTTCTTCAATTGTCAATTAATCAAGCTTTCCAAATTTATGATTTTTGTTTATATAGACATGCAAATTTTGAATTACAGTAGAGCGTCAATTATCCAAAAGAATTCCAGTCGGCAAATTTAAATTTTTGCCAGTGCTGTGGTGCTGCAATCTTTGGCTATGTCTCGGGCTACTCAAATATTTTACTTTTTGATACTAAATTAATTTCTGAAGTATAATTTTTTATTGTTTTTATATTTTTCAATATATTTATTTTGTTTGTACAAAATAAAGAAATAATTTTTAACGATACAATAGTCACGATTATTATTTTAAAAAGTTTACGTTAGGCTTAACATCAACGAAAATTCAATGCGAAGCGACATGCAACGGAGAAAAATTTTAACATGGGATAGGTTAATATATTTTTTCGTACACAATCGGTTATCTGAAATATCGATTTTTCGAACAACCCCAGTCCCCAATTGATTCGGATAATCAACGCTCTACTGTAGTACTATCATTTGTCCACTTCTAGACTTGGCACTGAATTGA